GTTTTCTTGTCTTCTCAACTTCCACCAGCAGCTAGGCTTTTTCTAGCTTGCTCCTTCAAATTATTCCAGCCTCTCCTCAACACCCAGTTACAAGGCAGCTTCCACATTTTCAAGTATTTGTTATAAGGAACAACCCACTCCTGGTACCAATTTTCTGTATTAGTCCATTTCTCCTGCGTATGATAAAATACCCTGAACTGGGTATTTTATAAAGAAAATGAAATGTATCACTTACAGTTTTAGAGACTGGGAAGTCCAAAGTCCAGGGACCACATCTGGTGAGGGTCTTCTTTGGTGGTGGGCTTATAGCAACACAGCGATCTCACATGGCAGAAAATGTTTGAGCAGAGAGAGAGAGGGACAGCTCCTCATGTGCTCTCCTTGTAAAGCCCTCGCTCCTGACCACCATTATTAACCCATTCACTATGGCATGGTTCTACAATCTAATCACCTCTTCAAGGCCCCACCTTTCAATATCCATAATAGGATTTTCCAACCTCAACTGTTACAGTGGGAATTAAGCTTCTAATGTATGAATTTTGGGTGATATAATTCAATCAATCCACAGTAGCACTCTTTAGTATAGCATAGTTTTTGATGCAAGGTAAGGTTCGTTTCTTAGGTGTCACAGCACGTTCTTGTACTCAAGGGAGCAGTTGGCTGGGCTCCTACTATGTATCTTGCTCAGAATGCAACACTTGCTAGATCTAAGGATTAGCATTGTCTGTGTCACTTGCTTTGGCTCTTCCTCCCATTTGTCTTTTTTAAATCTTTGATTTCTCTCTTCATTGTGCTCTTGTTTTTGTCTATGTTCTTAAGCAAATGATGCATGTTTACAACAGCTGTTCTTTAATCCTTATCTTCTAATTTCATCATCTCTGTCATTTCTCGAACTATTTCTATTGATTGATTTTTCTTCTGTCTATTGCTCAGATGTTCCTGTTCCTTTATATTTTTTATTGGATGCCAGACATAGGTAATTTTACATGGTTAAGTTGTAGATTTTATTATATTCCTTTAAAGAGAGTTAGATTTTTTATCTGCCAGGCAGCAAGTTTACTTGAAACCATCAGCTTAATCCTTTTAAAGCTTGTTTTTTATGCTCCTCTAGGGTGTTATATTCCTTTAAAGAGAGTTAGATTTTTTATCTGCCAGGCAGTAAGTTTACTTGAAACCATCAGCTTAATCCTTTTAAAGCTTGTTTTTTATGCTCCTCTAGGGTGGATGTTGAGTTGCTTTTACTCTTGGGCTAATTTAGCTCCACTTCTGAGGTGTGGCCCTTTTAGGGTTTTTGCTGAATGTTCCTTCTCCATGTGGCTGGTGGGTTGAATGACTCTCAGTCCTCTGTAAGCCCTGGAAATTGTTCTTCTTATAGCTTCCCCACGATTTTTCTTTCCTCAGCTATTGTTCCACGCCTGGCCTGATAGAATTTTAAGTTATTTATGTGCAGCTGGGTATTTAGCTAACAACTCATGGGTATTCCAATGCAGATATAAACTTTTTCTCCATTTAATTCCTTTTTCTTGGTTAGTCTACCCCACGAACTCTAGCCACCTGCTCTTAGCTTTATTATCTCCTTTCTTCTATTTTCTTTGTTTTTGTTTTCCTTTTTCAGTTCCTTTTCTCATTTCTTGAGATGGATACTTAGCTCATTAATTTTGAGCCTTTATATTCTTCTAATATATGAAAATAAAGTTTTAAATTCCTTTTGAGAATGGCTTTAATTGCATCCCACAGATTTTGATTGTCGTATTTTTCTTATCATTCAGTTCAAAGTATTTTTAAATTTCCACTGCAATTTTGTCATTGACCCATGGGTTATTGACAGGTGTATATCTTATAATACCATCTATTAAATGTTAGTACCTATTGTCTTTGCTCAAAAATTTCCAAACTAGGATGCAGCTAACTTGGGAAGGAGAGCAAAAATAGTGATTATTGGGGTGAAAAGGAAGGGGGTTGTGGAGTGCTAATAATATTCTATTTCTTGACCTGGGTGGTAGTTTCATGAGTCTATTTATTTTCTGATAATTCAATATCTTAGGTAATATACTCATTAAAAAGTCAGAAAAGTTTCCTGGCTATTTTTATACATGTATTTTTTCCATATAAATTTTATCCAGTTCTAAAAACAATGGAATCATTGAGTTTCTAATTGAAATTGCATTATACATATACTTGCCTTATATTTTTTCATAACTGCGTTGCTTTCAAAGTTAGCTGTTTCCTCCATAAATCGGCCCACTAGTAGCATAGCTCGACCATGGATTAACATGTTCTTACTCTCAGTGGGGGTTTTATTTTCAGGAAAACATAATTCAACACCCTTTTGAAGAACAATTAGTGCCTGGTGAACATCACCCTAAAAAAACAAACATTTTAATCTAAGAACATATTTGTATTCTCTGCAAAGCAACTTATTAACATTTAAAGTTCATTAAATATGTTTATGTAGAAGTCTATTTGTATTTTCATGTTTATCTCTCATTTCTCTCTTATTAAAGTAAAATTCTAAAAAGAAATCATTGCTTCATTTCATGTAGAACCCTTATTGTCATTCATTCATTTTACGATTAATCTAAACTCAGGGATCTGTAGATATATGTACAGACTGGCGATAACAATCATGAATAAATCCAAGTGTCTGCCATAAAAACGTTCATAGTCAAGTGAGGAAATAGACTATGTAAAATAACAACACATTGTGCTGAGTGCTATAACAGAGGAATACACATTACATAAACAATATACAATATTAAAGAGAATACAGAAGGCAGTCCCCGAAATTTACCTGAAGATACAGGAAAATGGAGATCAGCAGTCAAGGAAGGTTACCAATGGAGAAAATCTGAATTAGATCTTAAAAAATGAGGAGAAATTTTCCTGGCAGAGATTTAGTGAAGGACATTCTAGGTAGAGGAATAATTATTTTAATTGGGAGAAAAACAATTTGATTTTAGCTTAAGCTGAAGAGTTTGTGAGATAATGATGAATGAAAGTGAAGAAGTAGGCTGAGACTCGATCAGAAAGGGCCATGCATATGTCCTAGAGCTCAGAATTAATCCTGAAGGTATGAAGAATACTTTAAAGGATTCAATTTTTTGAAGGAGCAACATAATTTAATGTGCAATTTAGAAAGATCACAGATTGCAGTAATATGCACTGAGAAATAGTGAGATCTTGAAAAAGTTTGTTGATATTGTTAGAGGCTATAAATAATAAGGGCATGCATGAATTAAAGTAGTGGAAATAAGTAAGAGAGAGAGGATTCAAGAGACATTTCTAAATTGAAGAGGAAAGATTTAGGAAAGTGAGGGTGAAGAAGGAGTTGAAGATGATGCCCAGATTTCTGTTTTAGATAAGAGGATGGAATGGTCTTGTTCAGAAAAATAGGAAACATGGAAAAGAAACAGGAATTGAGTATTAGATAATGAATTGCATTTTGAACATACTGAGTTTAAGGTATTAAAATAGAGTAGCACCAGCTTATAAAGTGACCAGGTACCAAGTAATGAAGGCTGACTTATTACTTTCCTCTCCCACCCAGGAAACATCTCCTCCTCTGTCCTTTCTCACCCACCACAAAGTTGATAAAAACACAAATGGCACCAACTATAGTTGCTAAGTGTCTATACGTACTACTAATTCTAGGTTGGTGGCAAATATAAGGAGATATATAAGTAATGGCCATTTAAATCTGGGGCATAAAAATTGCAAGTTACTTCAGATGTTTAAAAAATTCCCTTCTAGGAAAAGCAGGAATTGGTAAAGGGACACAAAAATCAACTATATTGTATATTGATAAATTAAAACAATAAGAAGAGAGAAGATCAAATGTTCATATCACAAAGAAATGATTAAGTTTTGCAATGATGAATATGCTAATTATCCTGATTAGGTCATCACACATTGTATACGTCCTGAAATATAACTCTGTACCCCATAAATATGTACAATCAAGATGTTTCAATGAAAAATTAATTTAAAAAGTAAAAAAAAAAAAAAATGGCCAATTTTATGTCATGTGTATTTAACTGTAGAATAAATAAATACGTTAATGATGGGGGGAAAAGCTCCCTTCTTATAGCTATTACTTTAATCTAAGGATTGCTGGGAACTGGCCAATTTTATGTCATGTGTATTTAACTGTAGAATAAATAAATAAGTAAATGATGGGGGGAAAAGCTCCCTTCTTATAGCTATTACTTTAATCTAAGGATTGCTGGGAACTTCTGTTCTGATGCTAGGCCCTTCCTAACAGACTAGATTAGAATGGAATCTTGACAGTAATACCGGCAAGTACACACAGAAACAATTATCTACCAAATGTGTAAGTAAGGGACAGTGCTATTTTCACTTAACAAATACTGAGTGCCTACTACATATACCATGTATACATACAGAGAGTGAAAACAAAGTAAAAGTTGGTAAATTTCCTAAAAAAAAAAAAAGTAGAACAGATGAAAAGTGGGAAGGTATTTGGGGACTGCGGGATAGAAGGAACAGCTTCTTCCAGGCTATGGTAGATAACTAATGAAGAAAGTTATAGAAAAAGAAGGTTCTGAATTTGGTGTATTTTCTCTCAGTTGGGCCTTTGCTGGAAGTACATGATCTCCAACAGGATATATATATTTGACGGCATTCCCTTGACCATTACCTTAGACCAGAGCCACTTTGCCCTTTCCACATACAGTTCGGCAAGTCGTGATTCTCCTGCATTAAGGAGAGCATTGTAGGCTGTTTGGTGGTGACCAGCCTTTCTAGCTACTCTGGCACTCTGTAGCCAGCATTCTCCAACCATTTCATTGTAATCTGGCCTAAAGGAAAGTAACAAAACAGAGGGAGAAAAGAGTATTTGTAAGCATAATTAACAACTTTTTCTTTTCTTTTCTTTCTTTTTTTTTTGTGGCTGGCTGGTACGTGGTTCCAAACCCATGACTTTACAAGGCTGCGCTCTAACCAACTGAGCTAATCGGCCAGCTCTCAGCAACTTAACTAAAATATTTCTTCCCAACATAGAACCTTCTTGATATACCATTTCAAAGGAATCAATGACTAATTTGGTTTAAAAATCCTACTTTTAATGTTCCTATAGTGCTCCATTTTTATCTAAGTCTATGAAGACTTTATTCTTGACTTATATCAGTACCTCCCCTAATATGTTTTTAACATTTTTTAAAAAGATAAATGGCATATAAAAGTGATTCTTAAGTTTTAGTTCATTTCAACTACACAGTATAGTCCTGACAATTGAAAATAGAAAAATATAGATTCAGACAGAAAATTAAGAAATACAAACACTCCCAAATATAACCAAATATAATACTAAACTTAAGATAACTGACATAAAAAGAAAAGTAGTATGAAAAAACCTTTTGTTGAGGCTTAACAAAGCCCTCCGGAGAGCCAGGATGGGCTCCTTGGCTCTGTAGGAATTCTGGGTCATTTCTAGTCGAGCTACCCAGTTTAGAGAATCTTCATGAGAACTGTCACCTAGAGACTGGTGAAAAAGTGGTTTGATGCTATGTTCCAATTCACACAACATATGCAATCTGAAAATAGATACAGCCTCTGTTAAAATGTTATCCCATCCTGGCTAATTCATCTCATATATAAAGCATGTACTTTAAATCAGCCATGAAGAATCTAAAATGTGCAGTTTTCTTTGGTAGAACTTTAATATACATTCTTGATACATAAACAGTAGCATGTATATCTTTTCAAATTGGAGGTAAACACCAATTTATGCTGGTTTAAACATTTAGTACTTTGTTGTGATCCCCAAATTCCTATGAAATAAATGAAAGTTGCATGTGGGATCCGAACCCTCGGCGGGAGCGCCACCACGCTCCCAAGCGGAGCACTGCAGCAGTGCGCCACCAGGCCGGCCCAAAAAACTGCTTAATTTTTTAAAAGATAATTATCTTTTAAATATATTATAGTTCAATTACAATACTTATTTTGTCATTTTTCCTCAGGTGAATTAATAGACCTAAATGCTTTCCATCATTTTTTTCCTCACATCATCTTTAATATTCTTTTAATGTTCTTAATATTCTTTTCTGGTGATGTAATACCTATACGCCAGGTACAACAGATGTCTAGATTATTTACATTAGTTACATAGAAAGTAAACTATGATACTATAAGAGAACAAATATATTTTTCTTATGTTTTTATTAGTCTCATAATTACCTTTCCAATTGAAAGATGTATGTTAGAATATTTTTTTAAAAACTATAGGGTGATTGTGAGGTAAAAAGAATGAGAGTCATTTTGTGTAGCTACACATGATACCAATCATACTATCAGAATTATTTACTCATCAAAAATTTCCAATCCTGGGCCGGCCCGGTGGCGCGCTGGATAGTGCACTGCTTGGGAAGCGCGACGGCGCTCCCGCCCGAGGGTTCAGATCCCACATACAGACCGGTTCCCGCTCACTGGCTGAGCGAGGCGCGGGAGCAACACCGAGGGTTGCGATCCCGTTGCCAGTCCCCGGTCCGGTACGGGGGCAACACTGAGGGTTGCGATCCATTGCCGGACACGGAAAAAGACAAAAGACAAAAGACAAAAAAAAAAAAATGTCCAATCCTGTCAGGTGACATTTATAGACTAGAAATATAACAATGGAAATCCCCTAATACCTCACAATATATTCATATCCTCGTTGGTAAGAGCCTCTTTCAAAGCTTGCAGCTGAAAGAGGTACAATTTGTTCTGCTCTCACTAGTTTCAGTGTGTCATAAAAAGCTGTGATATCTTTCTTTTTGGCTGATAATAACAGCTGTCCCAGTCTGACACTCCATGTTGTAGATTTTCCATCTGAAAAACAAATGAAGAGTCAAGAAATGTCATGTAAGCTGGGTCCAGAAACCAGTTTTATTTCATTTGATAAAATGGCCAACAGAAATATTGAACAGATGGCTTCATTCTACTTTGAACAACTAAACAAGGCAATCATAAAACAGGCTAATGAATTAATTATGAATGTTGCTGAGCTACTTAAGTCGGAATATTTATGGCATATTAAAACTGCTCATATTTTAAGAAGCAATTTTACCTGCTGCCAAATAGTTTTCCACCAAATCCCACTGTGACAATTTCCAAGCTGCTTCCACTCTGTATGTGTTTAATTCATCTGTCCATTCAGACCTATTGAAAAAACCCACATCAATTAAACTTTAATTTATTTAAAGTGTTAGAGATTTTTCATTGGTTTAGATACTCTATTGTACTTATTTATTGTTCTATTTAATGTATTTGTATCGTATTATATTTTGTACTTAGATACAAAGTAGTTATCTCTAACACACATGAATTCAGAGGTAAGCAATTCCAATAACTTAGGGTTTTGAATTAAAGTTAAGACAAACATATAGGGGCTGGTGGTGAGAGTCAGGGGCAGTTGAGAGGTCCATAGGACACTTAATACCAAGAGCATAAGAAAGTTACAAATGACAGTCAATGGCATAACAAAGTATTCAAAACTAGCTCCCCCAAAATACACCTATTCTTAAACTATTTTTAAATAGTTACTTTAAAATTTGAGTTTGCAAAAGCAGTGCAAAATAGGCTAATTTCTTTTCTAAGCATTCTACCTAGGTGACATTAGAAGCAGTTAAGACTTTCTTCATGTTTCTTTATTAACCATACCATCTGAATACCTGATATGTGCTAGATACTAAGTTAGATACATTTTTCCATTTAATTATCTAATGACACTGCATATAGCACATGTATATCCATAGTATAAAAAGGGTAACAGACTCAGAGAGAGTGGGATCAATATCCTTAAAAGTCCTCCTTGCTCTTTCTACAGTAAAAATACATAATGAAAATATAACAAATAAAACAATCAATTTTCACTTTTTAAAAAATCTAAAAATAGCAGCATAAATATTGAGTATGCTTCAATTTCTAAATATGAACACCACCAGAAACAATTTAGAACAAGACTAAATGAAAAACAACAGAAATGAAATTTTCAAAAGTCCAACTTTGAATGACTTTACAAGCTTTACATCGGATACCAGCATATCAAAATTTCAAGATAAAAACCTGAGTAGAATTAGCTATCCAGAGGGTATGTGTCTTATCAAGCCATATACCGAAAATTACCAAATGGCAATGATGATCTGTCTGTGAGAACTTACCCACATAAATAAATACATTATAAAGAATGGTGTGTAGGTCAATCATAATCAATATTTTTGGAGAAATATTTATTTAAATGCAAATAGAGATATTCCCCAAGGAAAACATGTCCCTCAGTGAACATTTGCTTCACAATGACACAGCATCCCTTCATTGATTACTGACACAAGTGCTATGGGTCAAACATGTCCACCAAAAGTTCATGTATTGGAAGCTTAATCTCCATTGTAACAGTGTTAAGAGGATGGGAAATCTTATTATGGTAATTGAAAGGTGGGGCCTTTAAGAGGTGATTAGATTGTGAGGACTGTACCCTCCAGAATAAAGCCATTAAAGAGCAGATTGACTTGTGAAAAAGGAGAAAAAAATTTTTTGGTGCTTATCTCCAACACCATGAAAATAAATAAAACATTTCATTACGTTAGTAAACATTAAGTCACCTAATTCTAATTAAAAGTTAAAACTAATTAAAAATTCCCCATTCAGATAGAATAATGAAAGAAAAATATTACCTGCTAGCATGCACTCCATTCACCTGAGTGATTACAGTAGACAGCTGACCAAGACCTAACATGGACTTCACTACACCATGATAATGAATGATCTAGAAATTTTAAAATATTTAAAATATCAATTATCACTTCAAATATATCTTAGAAACCAAAAACAACTTAACTGATATCCCCCTTTCTCAGTTTAACAATTGACTTGCTTAGCTACATGGCAGGACTCCCTATCAATGTCTTAACACATGTAAGGTAATGGAAAAGAAGGCAGACAACCTAAAAAATCTCAGAGTATATTTATTATATTTTTCCAGATTTGGTCTAATTTTTAGTTCAGAGCAAATATAAAAGTAGTAAGTATTAAAAATATCCACTATAATATATTGTTTAAAGATTATTTGTCATATTTCTCACATAAAAACTTAAACTCAAAGGTCATAATGTTATTAATATAGACTTTGGGCTTTAGTAACTAAAAAGTTAAATAGGATTATGTAGCATTCTTTAAAACTGAAGATTGTGAAAAATGAAGGCCTTGTACGTTGAGCTTCTGAGAAAATAAGCATGTCAAAAATGACAAAAAGCAATACCCCAAGGTTAGAGAGAATCAAATCAATGACTCTAATCCTCTTTTCTATCCTAATAGACAACTTACTCCCATGAGTAATTATAGCTTAGTGATTCTAAGGGACCATTTCAGGGAATTGCAGGTGGGGGAGAGGGAAGGATGTGAAACATGAAAAAATTTCTCTGTAGAGAATCACTATTACTAAAAATTGATGCATGACATACATTTTTTTTTTTGTCTTTTTTGTGACTGGTAAGGGGATCGCAACCCTTGGCTTGGTGTCGCCCGCACCTCATTCAGCCAGTGAGCACACCAGCCATCCCTATATAGGATCCGAACCCACGGCAGGAGTGCCGCTGCGTTCCCAACGTTGCACTCTCCTGAGTGAGCCACGGGGTCGGCCCCATGACATACTTTTAATACCTAATTAAAATTATATACATTTTAGAGTTATTAAATACACATTTTAATATAAATATACTCCACAAAAAATCTCATTTATTTGAAGGATGTCTAAAGTCACAGAAATTTGGCATTGGAAGGGATATTTGAGATCATTTAGCACAACCCTCTATTTTTATCAGTCAGGAAACTCAAGCTCAGAAAGGGTTAAATATTTTCCACACATACTGTGGCACTTGTAGAGACAGTATTGAAACTAAGGTTTCTAGAGTTGCTATTCAGGTATCTTTTCATTACGTTGTCTTCCAATTATTGTCTTACCTGGTCTGGTTCTAGCTGAATAGCCCTGTCATAACAAGCAGTGGCATCCCTCAGCAAGCCAATGCTTTCATGTTCAAGGATCTGTTCTTTTAGAGATGGCTCTGCCTTTCTAATTGCGCTTACTCCAGCCACTCCATCTGGTTCGTGCATAGCAGCATACAATTTCTTTGTCAAACAATTAAAAAACAATCAAATGAATGAAAAAACACAACTATAAAACTATAAAACCACCAGTTCATGCAAAAAGAACATATGAGGAATTTTTCCTCAAAGTAACAATAAGTATTTGTTTCAAGGCAGATTCACAGTAAAATTACAAACTTATTTCCAGACATCCTATTACCTCATCACTCTTATTTCACTTAAACACAAATCTACATCAGAACTGTTATTGATCATGAAGGTTATAAAGAAATTCAAGATCCTAAAACTCTCTTTGAATCCAATTGATAATAGATTCTGTTGAGTACAGTTATAAGTATTTTATTGCATTTTAAAATTTCAATAAGCATTTTAACATAATAGGGTACTTCAAAAGTTCATGAAAAGATTCTCATCTTTTAATTCCATTTTTCCACAAACTTTTTGAAGTACCCTCATATTGGTACTGAAATGCTTTCAAGAAAACCAAAATATCAATCTAGGCTCAAAGGAGATTGAGGCTAAAGATAAAAATTTGGGAAGTAATTAGCACAAAGGCATTCTTTAAAGATGGGAAGGTTACAATGACCTAGGAAATAAATAAAGAGAAGAAAAAAATGCTGAGAATAGAGTTTCTACATTTATCGGCAAAGAAAAGCTAGCAAATGAAACTGAGAGAAGAAACTAGAGAAGGTGGAAGATACCTAGAGAGTGAAGCCATGGGAGAAAAACAAAAGTCTTAATGAAAAAGAAGGGGTCAATGGGCCGGCCTGTGGCTCACTCAGGAGAGTGCGGTGCTGATAACACCAAGGCCCCGGGTTCGGATCCCACATAGGGATGTCCGGTTCGCTCACTGGCTGAGCGTGGTGCTGACAACACCAAGTCAAGGGTTAAGATCCCCTTACCGGTTATCTTTAAAAAAAAAAAAAAAGAAGCGGTCAAATGATACTGTGAGGTTAAGAAAATGAGGACTAGGAAATATTTATTAGACTTGGTAACATGGAGGCCACTGATTTTCTTAGCAAGAATAGTGTCAAGAGGAAAGAAAAAGAGAAGTCTTGTTGGAATGTGCAAAGGGTGAACGGAAGCAATGTAAGATCAAGGGAATTATAAAAAATTAGGGGACACCAGAGCATATCTAAGTGCTCTATATACTCTGGGTCAGGAAGAGAAATTAATGATTCTAAAGAAACAAAGAATATTTGATGGAGTGAAATCCTTGAAATCAGGAGCAAGTAGAAGGACTGAATTTTGACAGGAAAGGATTTTTAGGAATAACAGAAGAGAAGAAAAAGAATATGGTGCAGATGTCACACAATTGCAGGTTTGGTAGACATTTGGCTTTTATTTCCTTAATGAACGATGAAGCAAGATCATCGTTGAGACTGAGGTAGAAGGGATATGAAGAGAAGGTAAGAAACAGTCATCTTGAAGAGTGGTAAAGTAGGCTTACTACAGAAACACAGAAGTTCTAAAGGCAGTGTTACGGAGTTCTGCATTGTTACAGATGTTTGAGAACATGAAAAGTGAAACGTCATAAAACCCATTGTGTAATTTTTCTCCAGCAATGTTCAACTGTTTACATGGCTGGAGTTTTACAAAATGGGTACAACACAGTGGGAGAAAGAGAAAGGAGCTGGGCGTCTGTGTAAGAAGAAGATTTCAACAACAAACCACAGAACCAAAATTAGAAAAAGAGGAACACAAAGACAGGAAAGGGCTAATATTTATCTTAAGACAACTACTAATCTTCCAGTTCGTTTACCATACTTTGCTTTTTGACCCAAAAAAGCCCCCAAATATTGATCTCTTATTTAATCCTATTGTGTTAGCTCTACCTACCCTTACTTTATTTTCTTCCCTACACCGTCATAATATTACCACCTAAACCATTATTTCACCAGTATTCTCATGCCTGATACCTGACATAACCAGTACATCCCCTTACTCACCCACCCCCAAATTCAGGCCCACACTTTTCACAAGAACAATAGCAATGCCTTGAATCATAGCCCTTCAAACTTTTCCTGCACAACTTCTATAGGCATTTAACTAAAATGTCATTGTGATTGTTAACACTTCCCTAGTTCACACCCTCTGAGAAGCTTGGGCAACTTAAAAGGACCTCTATGATTTGTGATCTTTCCTTTGTCTAAATGTCTATCTTTCTTCTGCCATTCCAAAACTGACACTTTACTTTTTAGTATACACCATGTTTTTTACCAACTCTATAGGGATGCCTCTGCTTAGAATGTCTTCCCTCCCTATCACTCACTCATTAAGACTTCATCACCAAGAATCCATTCCTGACCCCTGGCTTAGCCAGTCCCATATCCCATCCAACCCCAAATAGAGGATGAGTTAAGTGTCCTTTCTCAGGGCATATCTACACCACTGTACTTAAGATATTATACCTAACTGATGTTTATCTCTTCCCCAATAATCTGTAAGCTTCTAAAGTGCTTACAAGTATCTAGTACCTATCACAGCATCTAAAACACTCAATAACTAAATGCTCAATAAAATGAATATAACTATAAAAACTGGCAATATTAATTTTCACTACTAAATTCACTATATTAACTTCAAACCTGTAAAAATCCAAGATGCTCTTGAATATTTTGCTTCTTTTCTGTGATAAATGATTCAAAGTGCATTACAGCTCGTGTGTATGCTTTGGAGCGAAAGGAAGCTACTGCCAGAGTATCCTGAGGTATGAGGTCTAGAAAACGAGTTACACTCCGATAGTCTTCATAATCCACAGTAGGTACTAGGTTATATAGAAAAAATATTGAGTGATTAAAAACTTATAAGATGAAATTTTAAAAGTGTCAATTTAAGTATTTAAGTTCAATTTATTTCATTAAATAAATTACACTAAATATACTATGGTATCATATTTAGGACATAACTAAGAATGGGATGACTGCTTAGAGGGTTTTGCTCCAACTCTACCATTATAACTTATCTTACTTTGGACAGTCATTTAACTTATTGAGCCTCTGTTTCTTCATCCGCAAAAGTCAAATATTAGTACCTGTCTTGCCTTCCTTACAATGTTGTTGTGAGGATTAAATGTAAATCTATTATTAAATGTTAAAAAGATATAAAGTTGATACAAAAGACACAGGATGAGTTGTTATTTATTATTGATGACTATAAAAACACTGATAGAGTGTAGCTATTTAGTAGGGAAAAAAGAGACTTATGGAAGTACCTATCCTTCTTTTTCATTTTTAAAGTTTAGAATTCTTTGTTATCAACCTATTTTTTTCCTGTGTTGCCATATATACAATATCATTTATTAAAATGGACATTAAAAGTAAAAGTGCCTTCCAAGTACTTTAGGATAGTTTTTCAAGAGTCTAAGAAAAGACATGTTAATAACTTCTGTGTGATGATAGTCCAGTTTATGAATTTTTATTTAAAACTTCTAAATTTTAATAATGATTTGTAACAGCATATGGAAAACCGGAAACAAATAAATCTCTTCAAAATTTAAATAATTAAGGTAGTACATTTAAAAGGAACCACATTAAAAATAGGTTGATTAGTTCTATCAAAATTTGTAGATTTATGAGAAATGTTAAAGGTATTACACTGTCAAACTATTATAATGTTATTGTTTTTTGTTTTTGTTTTTGGTGGCTGGACAGTTACAGGGATCAAACCCTGGACCTTGGTGTTATCAGCACCATGCTCTAACCAACTGAGCTAATCAGCTAGCCCCACAAATATTCATAAAAGCTAGAATTTTAATTGTAGTGTTAGTGAAAATGGTGATAACAGAGTTAGTGTATGGTTTTACAGTATGATTTTCACATGCAGAAATAAAAACAAACATTAATTTATTAACTTAATGGAAGATACATTAATAATTAGCCATATTCCAGAGAAAAACATTCCCCCAGACAATTATTTGCAAGTCCAGAAAATTTAGAAAAATAATAAACTATTGTGCTTAACAACAGGAATGTATGTGCTTTCACAAGTATATGGACAGTAAGAGGGAAATTCTCACATATTGAGAACTGCGTAAATAAAAGCAAAAGCCTCTTTAAGAATTTTTAGTTAACTTTTTCAATTGGCCCCAAAGTCTAGGGGGAAAAACATGTGGTATCCATGAGAATGGCTGAGGTACAAAGTAGCAGAAGGATTATAACCATCTACTTACTGTAAGAAAGAAAAAAAAAAAAGGTTCAAAGAAAATAAGAATATCGATTACTGTGATGAGTATAATTCTTCTCACCAAATGCTTATATCATAGGTGCAAGTTAGCAGGTGTCATTTTTAACTTTAAGAAGATTCTTCTTGGGCCGGCCCGGTGGCGCACTGGGTTCAAAGAAAATAAGAATATCGATTACTGTGATGAGTATAATTCTTCTCACCAAATGCTTATATCATAGGCGCAAGTTAGCAGGTGTCATTTTTAACTTTAAGAAGATTCTTCTTGGTCCGGCCCGGTGGCGCACTGGATAGTGCGCCGCTTGGGAAGCGCGGCGGCGCTCCTGCCCGAGGGTTCGGATCCCACATACAGACCGGTTCCCGCTCACTGGCTGAGCGAGGCGCGGGAGCAACACCGACGGTTGCGATCCCGTTGCCGGTCCCGGTCCGGTACGGGGGCAACACTGAGGGTTGCGATCCGTTGCCAGACACGGAAAAAGACAAAAAAAAAAAAGAAGATTCTTCTTTTAGTCATATTAGTGGAAGTTGTAATATCACAGGAAGAAAAAATAGTACAATAGTAGGTGTAGCAGGGTATAGTATAGTAATGCATAGTAAGCCTGGAGAGCCTGCTGGATACCAAACACTACCAGAGAAAGGTAAATAAATAAATAAATAAAAAGAGCTTCTCTATAGGCCATGAATTAAATAAAATTAAAATCTCCTTTGAAATTTAAAACTTAATTGTCAAGACTGCAAAGAATATTTCACAAGTGAAAATGGACAAAGAACACTTAGAATATACACACACACATACACACGCACACACACACACACTACACTGAGGGGACATGAAGTAAATGAGTTAACAGCAAGAGGCAGGCTAATAACATTAACATCGCATTTATTTCACACTTTACAATTTAAATATGTATCATCTCATTTAATACTCACAACAATCTTCTAAGGGAAATAATATTTATCCCATTTTACACAAAGAAAAATTAGATATGTGGCTAGTCCAGGTAGAAGTAAGAACTTAAAAGAGGTCTTATGACTATAAATACACTGCTTTTTTCCAATGAAAAGCCCACACTATCACCCATTTTTAAAAAGGCACAAAACGGGTCTTTTTATTACTGACCAGCCACCAAAAAAACAAAAACAAAACAGGCCTTTTTAAAGCTAATACTTAAATTACAGAACTGATATGGATAGAGCTAACCGGTAAATATTTACACTGCTTTTTTCCAATGAAAAGCCCACACTATCACCCATTTTTAAAAAGGCACAAAAACGGGTCTTTTTATTACTGACCAGCCACCAAAAAAACAAAAACAAAACAGGTCTTTTTAAAGCTAATACTTAAATTACAGAACTGATATGGATAGAGCTAACCGGTAAATATTTAAAAGAAAAAATAAACAAAATTGTAACTCACCCATTGAATCTACCTTATCTCTATTTGATTTGCTCTGTGGAAATTTCTCAGTATTCAGTGCCTGAAATTTGTGCCTTGCCCACTGCGTGAGATGGTCAAGCATGGAGAACACAGTCTGCGTACTGAGTTGACACAGATCGGATGCACTGTCGTGGGTACTTGTGTTATGCTGATCGTCATGCTTTAGAACTGCCATAATTTCTGCATAAACCTAAGAGAACTCATTTTATGGTTAATAATATGTCTATATAATATCATTTTACTATTATCTGACATATAAGACTAACCATTCTAAGGCAACAATTTCCAAAAGAAAAAAAACACAATAGTTTAATAATAAATTATAATTACCTTTTTTATCTATAATTAAACCAATCAAATATTACTCTAAATATTTTAAAAACATCTAGATTACTCAATAAATGATAATAAAACTATTTGTTAACTAATGTAAAAAAACAGTAATATCTCACACTAGCTGCAAAAATTAATTTCAGAGTAACTGAAGGGCTAAATGTAAAAATAGAAGGATCAAAAGAAAACGTAGGAAAATATGTTTATGACATTGAATAAGAGAAGGCACCACATAAAAGGCTTAAAATTCAAAACTATAAAAGATTTATAAATTTTGCATTTACATTTAAAATTTCTAAATGGCAAAAGGCATAAATGTTAAAAATAAAACCACTAAATGGGAAAGATTTTTGCAAAATATAACTGGCAAAACTGATATCCAGAATATATACAGAACTTCTACCAATTAATTAAAAGACACACACACACACACACACACCACACATGTTAAATAGGCAAAGAGTAAACATACAATTCACAGAAAAGTAATCCAAATGACCAATGAATATAACCTTGCTAGTAATAATAAAAATGCAATTTAAAACAATAAGGTCTCTTTTTATTTTTTTAACCATTATGTTGCCTAAGATTTAAATGTTTGAAAATATCAAATATTGGCAAGTGTGTGGTAAATGCATATAATCATGAATTGCTGATAGAACTACAAATCAGTATAAACAATTTTGTAGTCTCTAATAAAATTTTAAATGCACATATCATATAACCTAACAGTTCTACTTTTTAGTATTTATCCTAGACATATATAAACAAACACTTTCACAGGTAAATATTGCCATGATGCTCACCATAGCACTGTTTGTAAAGTGAAGAATTGGAGTCTAAATAATCATTACCATGGCAATAATTAAGTGAGCTATGGTATAACTACACAATGAAAGGATTACACTATGCAGTACT